AGGTGCGCCCCGTGCACGCCAGCCTTCTAGTCTGTCAAGTGGTAATCTCCCTGCGGACCTTGCAGTACCTACAGGCGGACAGCTTCTGTGAGCTGTTCAAAGCACAGGCACTGCTGAGGCTGCCCTTTCTATTTCTGGAGGGCAATTCTGCTTGCTAAAAAGAACTATGCTGAAATGAAAACCGATCAAGTTCTCAACTCCCTGGTCAGAGCATCAGAATGGCTCTTCCACCTCTAACCCACAGGCCTGGCGGGATGGCCTGGGTGCTTTCCCTCTCGTTGGGGGACACCCAAGAGCTGGATCTTCGGGTGGCTATAAGCAAAGTAGCGAGAAGGAATTAAAAAATGAAGTGACCGAGGGCTTCCCTGGTGGCGCAGTGGTTGAGAATCTGCCTGCCAATGCAGGGGACACGGGTTTGAGCCCTGGTCTGGGAGGATCCCACGTGCCGCAGAGCAACTAAGCCCGTGAGCCACAACTACTGAGCCTGCACTCTGGAGCCTGTGCTCCACAACAAGAGAGGCCATGACAGTGAGAGGCCCGCACACCGCGATGAAGAGTGGCCCCTGCTTGCCGCAACTGGAGAAAGCCTTCGCACAGAAACGAAGACCCAACACAGCCAAAATTAAACAAACAAACAAAAAAACTTAACCTGAGTTGCCAAAACTCAGGTTAAGATAGTAAAAAAAAAAAAAAAAAAAGTGACCAACATTTGCAAGCAAAGACTCTTCCACTTGGTTAAACAGATTTAGGTCTATTTTTGGTTTGCTCTTAAAAAGGCAAAGGACGGCGGCCTGCTGGGTGCCAATTTCCAGAAACAAACTCCTTCCTCAGCTCAGGGCTCAAAATACACCCCAGTGGAGAAGTTCTGGCTCTTGCTGCCAGTGTGCAGAGTAAAGCCATAGAAGGTCAAAGTTTAGGAAGCCGAGGGAGCATCTTAATGTCATATGATTCTTGGCCCACATGGACCTGTGGGTATTTCTGAAACAGCTTAACAACGCATTTCGGCTGGCTTCACTCTAGCACAATGGGATTAATATGTAATAAAATGATGTTTTGGCCATCTTGCAAAGGAAGGTCATTTCCCACCAATCAGAGCAGGCATCATAATTCCAAGCAGCAAAAGCTCTGACAGTGGAAAGAAGAGAAAAGAAAACCGATCTGGCCTGATAAATCGGGCTGCCTCGGCCTAGCTGCCAAGCATACGCCACATTTCTCTTGTAATTGGACCACTGGTGGACCGGGTAAGTTCCCCACATTTTCTCTGGCGCCGACATCCAAGCGAGGCCGTTCCCTTCATGGGGTTTGCTGGCAAATCCGGACATTCTCGTCAGTCTTAGAATACAACCTCCACCTCCCCGTCATTACTTGCGGCAGGTGAGCACGGGAGGAGTGACTGCAGTGCTGTGCACCGGGGCCAGGGCGTTAGCCGCTCTGAAAACGTCTGACTGATCCCAGATTACACGGAACAAAGGCCCGGATGCACTGCTTCTAGGAGACCCGTGACAGGGCGAGTTTTCTAAAATTACAGCTTTGGGAAGGAACTAAAACTACAAGTGAACTTCAGAGCCACAGCAGTACACTCAGCACGAATGGACTCTTACAGGAAAGAAAGAATTTTGCAAATCCAGTTGAAAAGAAACAACAGCAAAAAAACAGAACAAAACGAAAACCAGTCATTCCCAGGGAAAATGGAAGAAAAATAGCAGTGATGAAAGAAAAACATTCAAAGGAGTAATTTCCAGGACTACAAAACCAACCCAAATGCTCCTCATGCATTACAGTGCATAGCAGGGGCCTCAAACGGCTTTTGAAGCATGTCAATATAGCTTTAACGAGGCCATGCCTTACCAGACCCTAATTCAGTGAAAAGTCAGGCTCCACTTCCATTTCGAAACTCATCATACTTCAAATTAAAAAATTAATGAGAATACCAACTCCCCGGCCCATCCTGGATGATGGGAATCCATCATGGCCTCTTGCTCAGCCTTTGGAGGTAGATGGGGCTCAAGGCGGGTCCTGCACAACCTGGCGAGGGCAAGTCGGTGCCTTCCAGGCTCTCCAGGAAGCAGCGGACCAGAGCGAACTGCGCAGTCTGAGTGGCCCGGCTCAAAGTAGGGAACGTCTTTCAAGTCTCTGGTTTTCTTTTAATTATGTGAACTTTAAATTATTTTCCATAATACATCTATGTTTAAAATATTTCAGATTAGAAATGAATTAAACTATTTAACATTTTCCCCCCAAACAGGAAAGACAGACAGATGAGGGAGATACACCATATTTAATCTGCTGCTCTGAGTGTTAAGTGATTCGACCTAAAGGTACCCAGCAGTTATCCCGGCAGGAGGATTCCCGGTGCTGCTTGGTTGGCCAGAGTACCACCCTGCTTCTCCCTCAGAGTCTACATCATCCAATAAAGGTGCAGCGGTCTTATGTGCCTTAGAGGGGTACTGTGAAAACTAGATGAAATGAGAAATAACACAACAGCAGCGTCCAGCTCAGTCCAGAGAACACAGCAGGTGTTCAACAAACGGCAGCTGCCGACCCCACAACCTACATCTGCCTCCACCCCCTCTCCAGCCACATTCTACGGATGACAATGTTACACGTGGGAAAACAGCGCACTCTGACAGTCATCTCTGGGACGTCACATACTACACATCGCACATCAGGAACAGATACAGTGTGGGATGTCAACCTGGGTCCAAGTGTCCTCCTGCAAACTAAACCCTCAGGACGATTCTCTCACCCAGTATTATCTGGCCAAGGTGAAGGACGGCTCTTGACACGGCTCTTTCATTCACCATCAATGCTGTAATTTCCCTGCTGAGCCCAAGTAAAATTGGTATAGACAGCAATTGGTATACCAGCTGACCAGGTTTCCACAGAAGTAGCTACACACACATCTCTGCAACAGTGACGAGCGAGTCACAGAGAAGCGACACGGCTATAGGAAAACACTTCAGTTGCCATAAGAACAAAATAGCCTGTGAAACACCAAGAAGAGTCTACTGAGAAGAATTTGCTCATCTCTTACTTCTATTCTTGGTCTATTTCTAAAATACAGTAATAACTGAATTGGCAAACTAAATTTAAACGCAGCCGGGCACACTGTCATGCTCAGTGGAAACGCAGCATCAGCCTCTGCAGCTGACCAGGTTAGGGACCTGATCCTACCCACGGCTTCTGCCCACCCACTTCCGCATTTGCTCAACCAAAACTCTCCAACCAAGAAAAACAAGCCACACCGCACTTCCCAGGCTGCGTCTTGCGGTGCTACCTGACAGGATTGCTGAGAGTTAAATGAGGCCACGCGAGGAAAACGCTTAGCACAACACACCGTGTCCAGAGTGCAGGATGTGGGCTGACGGCAGCAATTCCACATCAAATCCAAGCCCTCCTGCCGACTTCCAAGGATACCTCCTACCCATCCAACTTTATACTCCATCATTTCCCAACAGAGACCGTTTCTCTGACTCACATTTCACACGACCATCCAATGTTTGAGCCAATGTTTAAAAATCAGGATCTTTCACATAAAGCTCCAAATGTACGTACAGCACCCCCAGAAAAATCTGAGAACAAGCCACAGAGCATCAGACCCCACAGGGCAAGAAGTGACAGGAGCAAAGCGCCTGCCAGCCAGACCTCTTCTTTACATCAAGGCCACTTCAGCCATCTACATCGCCCTCCCCCACTGCCCTGGGGCTCTGGGTGTGGCATCCCCCCCCCCCACACACACCATTCGGAGCATATGGTGGGTTGCTCGCATCACAGTTCAGCATTCTGTTCTTTAACAGTCATCTAAAACGGCTGGGCAGGTAGCTTTGGTGCTTCCATCACAAGCACCTGTAGCTGGCTTTCTCATCAGGGCTATGTACCTTGAGAAACCTCCTCCACCTCATTGCCTGAATTATTACATGGAAAAGCAAGCAAGCTGACAACTCCATCCACAGGCTCGACTCTGTTCAAAGAGCTGCCTCTCATTGGGAGTCTGTGTCTCTATAAACACACAAATAGTTGCACAACGAACCTTGCAGACTGCTGCGGAGAATCTTATCTGTGAATGACATGAGTCTCCTGCAGTAACATTTTCCCCTAGTAAAACTGTTCTGAATGCATCCAACGGAACTAAATGTATCACTACAGCATATGAACAAGTTTTCAAGCTACTATTTTAAAAGACATCTAGTTGATGAGCAATGGTTGGCAATTGATAATGACATCCAAGAAGATGGGGAACACAGTGAAAAGAACAGAGGACGACCTGGGAGGGCTCAGGTTCTGACCCGGAGCCAGAACTCACTGGCCAAATGATCTACTAACTAGGCTGGCTCTTGGGGCCTGATTTTATTTTACTTCTTTTCATTATTTACCATAGCTTTATAGGTGTTTTTGAATACTCTGAACATTTTCAAGTAATATTATGGTGCCAGTTAATCTCTGGCATCATTTTGAGACCTATCATTCCATACATATGCATGAATAAACAAATAAATATTTTAAAAAGTAGATGTGATGAGCTCTTTAAAAGCCCATTTTTGTGTTTTATGCCATTTCAAAATAGAAGTGAAGCCACCAAAGCATTTGAGAGGCTAGATTTTTGTACTGCTTTGGCTGGAGAAACTTCCACAATGGCAAAGAGACTAGTAAAGCCTGGAACCAGGCACTGCTGAACACCTGCTGGATTTGTGGGGCCTCTTCTTCCCTAGGCCTAAAGGTAAGCTTCTAAGAGTGAAAAGAAGGCAGCTGGGGGAAAGGGACAGGCAGTATCCACTTTAGAGCTCCTGTCTTGGGCTCGATTGACATAGGTGGCACTGAAAGAATGACAATCATAGGAAAGCCATCTCCTCTCTGGAGGAATCTCATAACCCAGTGGTGGTGTCTAGTTGGAGACAGAGGAGGTTTCTTGTGTGATCTGAATTGTGTGTGGAAAAGGGTACACAAAAGCAATCTAGTACGAGCCCCAGCCCCAAAGAAAACCATACGAACAAGGCACATACCAGGTCTATCAGGTCGCTGAGGTTTTTCTCGATCTGCTGTGGAGGCAGGCGCCTCATCAAGTCCAAGGCACAGTCCAGCTGCTGATCACTCTGTCAAAGGAGAAACAGGAGTGTCTGGGTCACTTTGCCAGTAGAAACACCAAAACCCCCCTTTCAAAAGCATTCTGGCAGCTGCAGCTTGCCCAGGTACCCTGAGACCGAAGAGGTCTGCAGTGGGCCCTCTGGCACAGCTCCTGGCGGGAGACTAGCCAGTCCCTCCTGGATGGCAGTGTCTGTCTCAAGTGGAGGCATCCAAAAAACAGTTCAGCATGTGGAAGTGGGCTGGAGAGTCTGGAAAGCTGCCTTGCTCAGTCCACGTCTCAAAGCCTCATCAACTTCCTTCAGCAGCTCTCCAGACCGGCAAACGTATTAACTCCCAACTGGTCCTGCAGTGATCAGGCTCGAGCAGCAGGTTAGGCACTGTTCTTTGCTGTAACCTGGACATGAATGTCAGGAAATGTCACCTGACCAGGTTCCCTGATGAGCTCCAAGCCAGGGACAAAGCCAGGCAAAGAACAAGCGGCAAGATGCGCACAAACATTTAAGTGCTTCAGTCATTCTACTGAGGCTGGGCCCATCTTCCCAGGTGCCAGGCCCCGGCAAAACAGACCAAGACCTGAAACATCTACAGTTGAGAGCTCGCGCTCGCTGGGAAAGTGACCAACAAGTGTGTAAATCGGGGTCGGTGCTGCCGCAGGGGCGCGGGAGGATAAAGACTGCCCTCGTTCTCAGGATAATCTCTTCATTTGATATTCATGCTGCAGATATTTACTGAGAGCCACCACGTGCCAGTCACCGTAAACATGCAATAAGTAATGGAGAGAGGAAGGAAGGAACTGAGCGGGGGTGAGACCGGTAGAGCGTCTGGTAGGGTGCAGAGTACTGATTCAGTGCACAGTGGGCTGTAACACAGAAGGAAGGCCAGAGGCTCGAGAGGAGCAACCAGAAATAAGGTGGGAAAGGTGGGCCCAGTAAAATGATGAAGACCACTGGACGCAACACTAAGAAGTGCAAGTAAGGCGCATGGAGCCCCCAACACAACTAACCAGAGGCACTACCTGATTTTGTATCCTGAATCTGCTCTGCTCAGACCAATCTTAGGATTTCTGAAAGCCCTACATCAACACGCTTAAGAATCTTTATAAAGTATACAAGGTAATCCTGGAAATGCCACATTTGGCGGTAATGAAATATAACCTTTGAATCCAACCATCTGCACTTCAAGGTACTCAACCACAAACAGGCTGTGGGACGCAAGGACCCACTTTGTATACACCAGAGACGTAACACATAACACATAAGTTAACTGGAAGCAGTTTCACTCCCAGGTAATCGATGTGGCATATACAGCAGGCTGTTTTTGGAAAAGAAAACAAAAACAAAAAACCTGTCCCCTGCTCAAGATGGTTATCAGTGACAGTTTATTCTGGGACACACAACAAACTGGCTATACCCTGCAAAGAAACACACACACACTCCAGAAACCTTAGAGCACTTGTTTTCCTTAGTGAAACATTCTAGCAACCAGGTATTCCCTACTTGTGCCGTGCCTTCTATGCCAGCCAAGGCCACGGAGACATGGGTGTGGCCAGCTGACATGGGAAGACATTTTAACATCACTTCTAGGGTCAAGAACACAGATAAACTGATTTAACACTAGAGAGACTTATATTCAGTGCTCTGTTCTGCCATTCATTAACTTAGGACCTTGGGCAAATTTCTTAACCTCCAGGAACCTCTATTTATCCTGTGAAACTGAATAAAGGAAACCACATTTAAAATGGAGTCAGGAGGCCAGAAGGGGGAGCTCTCGAGCACCAGCACTAGGCATCAATTACACACCCCAACAGGAAGAGAGGGACCTTGTATTGCCAGCCGGAGGAAAGATTTCTCCTTATCCAGCAGCGAGCCCAGGCAATGGGAAGCCATCACCACCCTGAACTCTCGCCTTCCTCTGATGGACATTCCTTCTAAGCAACCCCCCCACCCCAACTTCATTTTTCTCTATAATGTTCCTCTCCTTTGTTTTCTGAACTTGCCTATAGTCTTTGCTATTCCATCCCTGAATTGCAATTCTCTGCAATTCCTGAATAAATCCATTTTACTGGTAAAATAACTGGCTGTTTTATTTTTAAGGTCAATAATCCATAAAATGGGAATAGTATCTACTTCACAGGGTTGTTGGAACGATCTGACTAATAACTGTGAATTGTTTAATACGCAGTAGTACACATTGGACTGGGAGTGTTTTCTGTGTATGTGTGCAAACACGTGTTTCAATTTTTAAAATGTAAGTATTTTATAACATTTGCCCCACTCGACCCAACCCAGAAATCTTTCCTGTTGCTCTCATCTGGAGCTAGGTATTCAAACTCCATAAACAGCTATGTGCTCCCTTAGCCGTGCAAGAAGAGAAAACCCTAAATGATTCAAGTCAAACTACTTAAAAGGTGTAAACTAATGGGCCAAAGACCTTAACAGACATCTCACCAAAGAAGATATACAGATGGCAAATAAACACATGAAAAGACACTCAACATTACACCACGAGAGAAATACAAATTAAAACGAGGTGCCATTACACATCTATTAGAATGAATGAAATCCAGAATTGTTATCGCCAAAAGCTGAAAGGCAGGTGGTGCGACAGTAACTCTGGTGGGACGCAAAACGGCACGGCCGCTTCCAAAGACGGGTAGGCAGTTTCTTACAAAACGAAGCATACTCCTACCACACAATCCAGCAATCACGCTCCTTGGTGTTTACCCAGAGTAGTTGAAAACTAACGTCCGGGAACTTCCCTGGTGGCCAGTGGCTAAGACTCCACGCTCCCAATACAGGGCGTCTGGGTTCGATCCCTGGTCAGGGAACTAGATTCCACGTGCCTAGATCCCACATGCCGTAACTAAGAGTTCGCATGCCGCAATTAAGACCTGGTGCAGAGGAAAGAAGGATGGGAGGGAGGGAGGGAGGGAGGGAGGAAGGAAGGAGGAAAACTAATGTCCACACAAAAACCTACCCACAACAGCTTATGGCAGCTTTATTCATAACTGCCAAAACTTGGAAACAGTCAAGATGCCTTCAGTAGGTGAATGGATAAAGAAACAGTGGTGCATCCAGACAAGGGAATGTTATCAAACCATGAAAAGATGTGGAGGAAACTTAAATGTCTACCACTAAGTGAGAGAAGCCAATGTGAAAAGGCTACATACTCTATATGAATCCAGCTATATGACATTCTGGAAAAGACAAAACTATAGAGACAGTAACAAAATCAGTGGTTGTCAGGGGATGGAAGGGAGAGAGGGATGACAGTAGGCACAGCACAGAGGATTTTCAGGGCAGTGAAACTACACTATGTAATACTATATATAATGGTGGGTATGTGTCATTTTAAATTTGTCCAGACCCATAGAATATACAACACCAAGAGTGAACCCTAATGAAAACTATGGATTTTGAGTGATTATGACATGTCAATGTAGGTTCATCAATTGTAACTCTCGTAGGGGATGCTGATAGTGGGAGCTGATATGCATGTGTGGGGGGCACAGAGTATATGGGAAATCTCTGTACCTTCTGCTCAATTTTGCTTTGAACCTAAAACTGCTTTAAAAAAAATCAAGTCATTTTTCTTTTTTTCAAAGGTGTGAATTAGTGTTTCTCAACTGGGATTGATTTCGCCCTCCCCACCAACCCGCAGGAACATGTGGAATGTATGAGGACGTTTTCGGTTGTCATCACTGTCTGGAAAGACAGCTACTGGCATCTAATGGGTAGGTGTCAGGGATGCTTCAAAACATCTGCGATGTACAGGACAGACCCCAACAACCTGGCCCCAAATGTCAGTAGAGCCAAGTTGGAGAAACCTTGGTTTAAAAGGATTGTTTTGGGGACTACAGACTCCCAAACTCTGGTCAAAGCTAAGGCCCCAGAAAACGGCACAGAACATTTTACATACAATTCTAACTCACAGACTACCTGTAACCCTAAAAACGGCTGGTCTTTGGAAACTGTCTCAACTGGATATTAACAATACTCCTGAGAACTAGAAAAAAATTTTAGATATAAGCCTAGCTACACTGAATCATTTTTTAATATTCAAAATATATAATTAGCTTTACAACTCAATATCAAAAAAAAAAAAAAAAAGAGACAGTCCCCCAAGAAGATACACAGATAGCCAACAGGCACATGAAAAGATGCTCAACACCACCAACCATCAGAGAAACGAAAATCAAAACCACAATGATACAACACCCCACACATGTCAGAATGGCCATCACCAAAAAGATCAGAAACAAGAAATGTTGGTGAAGATGTAGAGAAAAAGGGACTCGCCTACACTTTTGGTGGGAAGGTAAATTGGTGTAGCCACCATGGAAAACGATATGGAGGCATACATGATGGCAGTCCCATCTTCCATTCCCACCAGCAGTAAAGTAATTCTACGCTGAATCTTTAATCCAGAACACAGTGGGATGTTCAGAAGGGATTAACTAGAAACTGAGTAGTGTATTATCTAGGAAAAGAAAAGTCGTAACGTGACCAGAGAAGATCAACATGAAAAGACACTATTTTAACCCTTCCAAGGAGCCTGTTCACATGCCCCCAACCCCAATACGCTGACCACGGCCACACCCTCCAAGGGTGCCGGTAGCATGAAGGCTTCCTTCTGGACAGTCCTCTGACTGGATTGAGTTGAAAGCACTAAAATACTACTGCAAAATGGTCTAACCTGTATTTTGCATTAATCCCAACAATCTTAATAGGAAATACTCACTACAAATTTCTAAGGCTAAGGATGTCTAACTAGCATTAAATTAGAAAATGACTAAAAGCTTCCCATAAGCCACGCAACATGGGAAAGCTTAATGACAGCTTGTAAAAAGTTAAAATTAGAGTTAACCGGAGCCCTTGGCTTGGGGGGTGGGGGGGTGGGGTCATCCCAAATCCTGAGGGTCCCAAATGGGAAATAGCACAAGAGAATGAAGAAAACATGGATGGTCCACAGCTACGTACAACATGAGTGGCCCCAGAAATAGAATGAT